GCAGAGAGTGGTGAAGGCTGCACAGAAGTCTGTTGAGTCGGTCTCCCCACCATCACAGACATCTACACCTCTAGATGCAGGAAGAGGGCCACCTGCATCATGAAGGATCCCACTCACCCAGCACACACACTTATTGCCTGGCTCCCCTCAGGAAGGAGGTTGAGGAGCATTAAGCGTAAAACCACTAGACTGAGGAACAGCTTCTACCCTGAAGCTGTTAGACTCATGAATCTCTAACCAGGATAATCACTGTGAAAAATCACATCATGTTGCTGCTGATCTGTTTCATGTTGCTGCTGATCTGTTTCATGTTGCTGTGTTCATGCATGCTCATCTGCGCACACAGACTCATGTTCGTGCTGCTGTTCAACATAATGTTTTTATGCTACTAGTGCTTAGTGCATTATTTAGCTGATATTTCTCTTAGTTCATATCTTAGATCTGTTTTTTCTTCTACATTTTATTGTTGGCTGTAACTGGGACCCTGCCTACATAATTTTGTTCCACCACATGTACCACATGAGATGCGAATGACAAATAATAAGTCTCTCTGACTCTGACAGTGGAGGAAATAGACAAAGGGATCTGAAAGCAGACTCACTTGTACCGTACAATGTCTACACAACTCCAAAACGTGCATTTTACTATAAAACCGCATTCTGACACAGAATCAGCGGCAGCAGCAGTTTAGTATATTTGTAAGAGCGTTGTCATACCAAAACCCAAAAAACACTCACATTAAAACTGTCCCTATTTGTACAACTTCGGGGGAAAGTGAAACTATTAGAAGGGGAAAAAATGTGATTTGTTGAGTTGTATTCTTCACGACAGAAACCACAGCAGTCCTGCAGTGTTCCAGTTGTCGTAGCAAAAACATATTTACACATTTTTTTTTTAACAAGGGTAGTTCTCCACTGAACAAACTACTGACATGACAACAAAGACATTAAGCTTTTCCCACTGATTTTGCAACATCAGTATTAAAATATTCTAAAAATCCAAACTAACTCAGTTGTAATTTTTTTAAATTTGGTTAAAGTTAAAGGGGGTTGTGTTTATTTACAGGTTCCTTTTATTTGGGGTGTTAATTGATATCTGCAATATTTTATTTTTCCAATGTTAGCTTATCTTACTTATACTCAGCCCTTCTGCATCTCTAATCATCTTCTGGATCAAAAACCCTTTCGTGAACTGGACTACAACAGATTCTTGTCATGGATTTTGCACAAGCTATTAATAATTTGAAACTCTGTGGGCCTGATGGAATGAGTCGACAGGCTAGGTTTTAATTGGCTGACATTATTCTTACAGAAAAAAAATTGTTGCATTAATTTTATTTATAAATTCAAAAAACAAGAAACAAGATATTTCATATGGTTTAAAAGCTCTCTGCTGCAAAATAAAACTTTATGTGATGATAGGTTCATGTTTGCAGTAATGCAAATCTTCCACACCCACAAAAACATCTTCTACACAAAACTTTTACTAAACGACAAATTAAATAAAAACGACAATGAAAAGAACAATAGGAAAAGCAGTAATATTTCCTTGATTCAGTTTACTGAGTCAAAACTCATTCAAATGTGGGAATGATTTTACATTTAAAACCTGCACCTTTGCAAAATACGTTCCTATTTGAGGAGTTATATTAAAATGATGAAAAACATGAGCAATATTTGACATGAAAAAGTCCCTTGTTTACAGTTATGACTTGGAGTCACATTTGTTTAAAATTAATAACTAATGTTCTTGGTTCTGGAAAATAAAAGGGGGCATAAAAGAGAAAGTTTTCATTTAGTTTAACAATAGTTCTTTTTTTTCTGTATTTTTTATAATTAGAAAGGACGGAGTGGTGGCGCAGAGGTTACAGAAGGTGGGACTGTGATCGGAAGATCGTTGGTTCAGCTCCTGGTACCGACAACATCAAAATGTGGGTGGGGTAGGTGAAGCACCCACATCTGCCTCCACCCTCATTTGCCCACTCTGGGCTCTTGAGCAAGGCTCTTAGTCTTAACCCCCACCATCTGCTCCCCCGGGCGCCCTAGATAGCAGCTCTCTGCTCCACACAGAGGGCTGTGGTAGCTCGGTGGTCTGCGGTTGCGTCAGGAAGGGCATCCGGTGTAAAAAAAAATAATAATAATAATTTGCCAAGTCTTCTTGCGACTAGTTCACTGTGGCGACCCCTGACAAAGGGAGCAGATGAAACAATAATTTTTTTTTTTTTTTAATTCTAAATCTTATTTTTTCATTTAGCCTTTATTTATACAGGTAGTCTCATTGAGCCACGAGAACTCATTTTCAAGAGAGACCTGTTTAGGGAGCAGATGGGGGTTAAGAACCTTGCTCATGGGCCCAGGGTGGGGCGAATGAGGGTGGGGGCAAGTGTGGGTGCTTCACCTACCCCACCCACATTTCTTGATGTTGTCGATACCTGGGTGTGAACTGGCGATCTTGCGATCACAGGCCCACCTTCTCTAACCTCTGCGCCACCACTCCCCAATAATTAAAATTATAATTCTGCACCGTCTTACAATCTAGCTGGGTTTTTTTTGTTGCTACTTTTCCTTTTAATTATCCTTTTAATTACCATTTTATTTTCATTTGTTAAAAAATAATAATAAATTTGTACGCATCCTTTATGATTGTCTGTTGTTGTTGTCCACTGCTGTCATCACTCTGTTAAAATTCAGATCTCTCTTGTAAATGAGTCCCGAGGCTCAAAGGATTAACCTGTCTAAATAAAGTTAGAATGAATTAGAACATAATACTGACACTTGTCTGGTAACAGCATCGTTCATCTTCAGAACAAGGTTACTTCCTTGTAAACTGAAACTACTGTAGCTCTTGCACTACTAGGAAAAGTATTATCTTCTTACAGTCTGTTTATGCTTACATATCTCATATCAAGATATTCTGTTTTAGTCAAGTCAGATTTATTTATAAAGCACATTTAAAAACAACAGTTTGCTGAACAATAAAAGACAAAGGCAGAGAGTAAAAGAAAAAAAACCCAATAAAACTAATTAATTTAAAAGCATCAGAAGATAATAAGCATAGAACACAGAACAATAACGTACTAAAACAACTCACGCTGGGTTAAACATCTGTGAAAATACGAGTTGTTAAAAGAGATTTAATAATAGGGAAAAGGTCAATCTAATGTTGGGGGCAGATTGTTTCAAAGTTTAGGAGCCACAACTGAAAGAAGCCCGATCACCTCTGAGTTTCAATCTTGTTTTTGGAACAGCCAAAAGCAGCTGATCAGATGATCTAAGTGCCAAGAAGGAACATATGGTTGAAGTAGGTCAGAGATATGAGGGTGTGAAGCTATTTAGGTGTTTATAGGTCAACAGGAGAATTTCAAAATCTATTCTGTGACGTACAGGGAGCCAGTGAAGGGAGGATAAAACTGGTGAAATATGCTCAAACCTATGAATTCCTGTTAAGAGCCGAGCTGCAGCATTCTGGACAATTCTGGATTTTACCTAAATACCAAATCACAATATCAATTTGGTGAAATTATCCTGTCTGTTAATTCAGTTGCTTATTGTTGTTATTGGTTTGGGTACTCAGTTTGGCAAAGCTTTAGTTCATCCTTAAAATGTAATCCGTTTGATCCGATCTGTCCAAAGCTTCAAGATTATTATGTTAAAAGCTGGAGCTGGAATGGGAGGGATTGAAATAATTCTATGATCTACTATTTCTGTAACCTTTGTCTTCTGGTCAGCAGGGCTAAAGCTAACGGATTAATAAAAAAGCACAACAGCAGCAAAACAAGCAAGACACTTCAGAGATATTTTTGAGGCTGTTCCAAAATTCAACATGAAACTGTGTTTCGACCCAGAGAAACATATGTTTTTTTTCCCACTTATATCTCTTTCAGTCTGTTGTGCCAATTAGTTTATCATAATGAGAAGCAGGATGCATCTAACCAAAGGTAATAATGCTTTTGTGAATGGGGTTTCACATTTCTGCTGGTAACAAGCTAAAATTCAAAGGTCCAAAGTAGCAAAGGTTCAGTGTTTTTACATCATGGACTTCACAGCTTTGGTTAGTTTTTTTAAGTGATTGCAGAGAACTTTAAAAATACACACAATGACCCAGCCAAAGAGAATGAAGGTTGCTATTCTCACTATCTTTAAAACATCTTTATGTGGTATTAGCTGCAAAGACACAGAAAGGTACTATAGCACCTTCTGCTGGATGAATTTACATCACAGAAACTGTTAAAACATCGTTTTTTTGAAAGTTTTAATAAAGCAATCATGACAAACTGGAAAAAAAAACAGCAACAGCAATTTACCAATGAAAACTTCAACATTTAGAAATACATTTATCACAACACATTTTTTATGTCTTTTCTGTATTTGTGATTTGTGGAAATGTGTTTTTATCGTATATTTTGTCTTAAAAGTTTTAAAGTGAGTTTTTTTTGTGTGCAGTTTTAAGTTTTTATTTTGTTACAGGACACAACTTGGACAAAAAACTAAGTTTGTTTGACAGCACAGAGGCTCAGAAGAACTCTGTTTAAAAGCATTGAATACAAATTCATGAAAAAAAGTCAAAATATGCCTAAAATACAAATATTTATAATCTTTGATAAACCATTATAGTTAGTTTTAAAACGTGAACGCTAAGAATAGAAAACAGCGTTGCAGAGTTTCATATTACATCAAAAATAATGTGTAGCAGATGAGAATGTCTCAAATAGATTTTTGTTAGAACCTCCTGCTCCGCTAGGGGGCGGTGTTGTACAAACAAGGGGCGTGTTTGTTTCTTACCGTCACCGAAGAAACACGGAAGTGAACTTTAAGTTTAAAAAAAAAAGAACGGCGCAAGGTAAAAAAACTATATTTATTTACGAGTTCTGTACTTTCTGTCTGTTCTTAGATAAATTATTTAACTGGTTGTAGGTTTTGGTAAACATGTGAGGGCGTAATAGACAACTTATTCGGTGTTTCGTTTTAAAGTAAAAGTACGCCTGAGCTGCGTTTGAAGCCATGGCTGACATGGACGAGGAAATGTCAGAGGACACGCTCCCCCTTCGGCAGGACCTCACTTGCCCCGTGTGTCAGGGCATCTTCCAGGACCCCATGTTGTTGCCGTGCACCCACAGCTTCTGCCGGGAGTGTCTGGAGAGGAGCTGGCAGGTCAACAAGAAGTGTCCGGTGTGCAGAAACCCGTCTGACGAGCGACAGGCCATCCCTAACCGCGCGCTCAACGACGCCTCGGCGAGCTTCCTTCGGCAGAAGCGAACCGCCCCGAGCGGAGCCAATGACGAAGAAATTGTCTGTAACCTCCATCTGAAGCCGCTGGCGCTTTACTGTGAGAAGGACGAGGAGCCATTGTGTGCGGATTGTGTGACCCAGCACAATACACACCGACTGTGGTCGCTGAATGATGGCACAAGCATCTGTAAGGTAAAGTGACCGAGTGTGCAAGTTCACACCACACAATATAATCATTCAGACAGATGTTTTAAAACCACGCAGTGCTCCATTAAACAAGTGCCGATGCAGCAGGCCGAGAAGACATTTGTAATTTCATATATTGCACAATTCAATTTCATTTCAGTTTATTTATACAGCGCCAAGTCACAGCAGAAGTCGTCCCAGGGCACTGAACAGAAATATTACGAAATAAGAATACTAACACTATTTATCTGAGGAGCAGACTGCTTTGAATTTAACTCCACTGCAGAACTCTCATCTTGAGCAAGCGTGAAGGTGACTGTGGGAAGGAAAAACTCCCTCATGAGGAAGAAACCTTTAGCAGAACCAGGCTCAGGACAAGTGGTCATCTGCTTTGACCGGCTGGGTTTGATAGGAACAGGAAACGACGACAAATACACAATGTAACAACTGGCCTTCCTAAACGGGAGTAATGAAACCTGCTGAGCAGAAATCCTCCAGTGCTGACTAGATTTGCTGCTGCTGAGCAACTAACACACTTCCTTCACTGTTTGACTCGGTAGAGGAGAGGACTGGTCCTGGGTTAATAAAAGTCAACGGATTATTTGTAAGACTGCAGTAAAAATTTAAACAAGGTTTAGTATTTTGCCATGACAAGAAGTACAAAGAATGGATAAATATAAAATGTTACTATCTGGCAGTTCATAATGAACTATTCTACTGTTATTTAAATTACAATAGGAATTAAATAGACCCGTATTGGATTTATTGTAAGAATTTGTTTTTATTTTTTGCATAATCCCCTGAGGTAACTATTGCTGTGAAGTGGCACTTTATGAATACTGCAAACCAAATTGAACTGATTGGCAGAGAATGATCATGCAATTTAATATGAAGACTGGTTGACCGAAGGTCCATTACGTACCATCAAAGAAGAACCCTTTGCTTGATATTACTTTTTCAGTGTGGATGTGTACTGTATGCTCAGTGTGTTTTCCACTAATGTAGTTTTATGTTAAACTGTCCCTCTTTTTAGTCCACATTCAATACACACAGCACAGACCTGACTTCTTGGTGACATTTGTTTCATTTACCATCCCATCTGAATATAGGATGATCGTAAATTTCAGTGTCACCAAATACTTAAGAGGAGAAAACAGAAAGTTATGCAAAGAAAGAGTTGTTGGTCACAGTTCATTTGAAAATATAAAACTTTTGCTTTCTTATATTCATTTACTTACACACAGTCAATGTTTAACTGGTCTACAGAACCATCAGTTTTATTATATCTACTGTCTTTGACTCAAGTCCCATGGGTCCAGTGAACCATGCCTATGAATGTTTTTTTTTTGTATTTATTTTTTGGACCAAACGCATGCAAATGGACTCCAATAATTGACAATTCTTCAATAAATTGTCTATCCGAATGGAGATTTCAAATATTATTATTTTTTAATTGCTATTCGTTTCATTAATTACGGTATTAGACCTTACACGTTTTTGTCTTCCTTTATTTTATTTGAGTAATTTTAATGGTCAAATACTTGAATTACAACAGGTTCACATTCTTATAATTTGTTCCAACAAAAAGCAAAACCTGAAATTCACCCTTCTTGTTAACTCGAGTAATATTTTAAATGTGAAACACTTTATGCCTGGATCAGAAATAGTTTTTACTCTTCAGCTGTGGTCACTTGTCTAAAGCAACTCGTTCTTTTGTGTACCGTTTGTAGAAGGAGCTTGGCTACAAAGTCCAGATTTTTGAAAAGAAAGTGGAATCATACAAAAAAATGACAAAGAATTTCAACAATGCAGTGGAATATATCAAGGTAAAGTTACTGTCGTGGCTCATGATGCTCATTTTACATTTGTGTGCCTGTGATTAATGATTCACAATGATTGTGTTACAAAGAAAGCAAGAAGACTTGAGAAGATGAATAGGAAATGGAAAATTTTTCACAGACTTTTAGCTTTAGTGTTATATAGTTCATATGTGTTAATGTATCAAACAAGGCAAATAATCTACATTGTTTTAATTTTTTTCTGACTTATTACAGTATCAGGCTGGAGAAGCAGACAAAATTATCAGGGCAGAATTTGAAAGGCTCCACAAGGTGCTTTATGCTGAAGAAAAAAGGCGTCTAAGTGATTTGGCCATTGAGGAGGAGGAGAAGATCAAATCCATACAAAGAATGAATGAACAGATGCAAAAGGACATTGTTAATATAAAACAGCTCATAGAGTCTCTGAAGAAAGAGATGGGCAATGAGGATCTGCCACTTCTGCAGGTAAGCAAAGGCAGCTCACCCCAGTGTTTATTGTGTTAACTTGCATTCCCTGTTCATTTCCAGTCCGGGAAAACTTTAAAAGCTCACCATGAAAACTGCAAACATTCACTATTAAAATCGCTCAATGGCAGGAGACCTCAACGTACCACTTGTTTTATTTTGAGCTAATGTCAATTTCTTTTTTTATGTTGCAGAATTTCCAAAAAATAAAAAGACAGTAAGTCTTCTCAACATTCCTTAATATTCATATAGGAATCATTTAGTTAATTATAATAGAAATCAATACATCCAATATAATGTATATTTAGAAATCATTTGCAATAATTTTTAAATATTGGAATAAAATCAATTTAGGGATTTGCTTAATACAGGTGTCCATTGTATTTGAGCGATATATCCTTGTGTCTGCTGTAGAGCCCAGTGGACTGAACCTGAGCCTGGCTTTGTGTTTGACTCGCTTATGAACATGGGCAAACACGTTGGCGCTTTGAGCTACAACATATGGAAGGACTTGAAAGCTCATGTCCAGTATTGTAAGTATTACACAGTGAGAGGTAATATTTTGTTTTTGTCACAATCCAAATGTAAAGAAAATAAAACATAATTGGAATTATGGTACAAAATATAAGTATTCTGCTGTGTTGTTGTAAAGTTTTTGAAATATTAAAGTATTTTTTATAAGAAACAGTATGACATGGTGTTTTTGTGTGTGTGCAGACCCAGTTGTACTAGACCCAAACTCAGCCTCTCCATGGCTCTCCTTGAATGCTAGTCTCACCACTGTGAAGGAGAGCTCAGAGCGGCTGACGGTTCCTGAGAACGCAGAGCGCTTTGATCCGTGCGTCTTTGTCCTCGGTGCTGAAGGTTACAGTTCTGGCAAATACAAGTGGGACATCATCGTTGGTAACAACCCCAAGTGGATTCTGGGAGTGTGCAAAGAGACTGTGGCTCGTAAGAAGAAGTTTACGCTCTCAACAAGTCGTGGTGTGTGGGCCATTGGCCTGAGTAAAGGAGTGTATACCGCCTTCACTGCACCAGAGCGGACAGAGCTAGTCGTGTCGCAGTGTCCTGAAAGAATTCGCATCAAGCTAAATATAGAAAAGGGAGAAGTGTCATTTTGGGATGGGGGGAGAGAAATTCACTTGGTCACTCTCTCACATAAGTTTGAAGATAGGTTGTATCCAATTTTTGGCCCTGGGCTTCATAATACTCCTATGATTCTGGCTCCTGGAAAAATGGCTGTGCACACGTCATAAAACATTTCACAAAAAGAGGCTTGTTTACCTGAAGCTGAATAGTTTAAAATAAATATTCAAACTTTTTTTTTTTTAGCAAGAAACAACTTGCCAGCTCAACAACACTTTACCAAATAGTTGTGGTTTACAAATATGTAAAACTACTAACAATGATTAGAACAAAAATTGGTCTTAAACAGAAAAACTTAATTTATGCTACAAATGCATAACATGCTTAAAACCCAACTTTAAAAACAACAGCAATTAAAGAAAACCAACATGAAACATGTTCTCTTGTTGTTTTAGAAGTGATGGTAACATTTTCAGAAGGAAATAGCAGAATTTGAGATGTGTTGAAAAGCATTCATTCAACCTTTATTTTTACAGGTCAGTCTCATTGAGTGACGAGGACTCATTTACAAGAGACCTGAAAGCATGACATTGTTTACTGGCCAATAATGATAATGAAGACGTGTTTCTGCTTTTGTGCCTTTGAAACCTTGTTGAACAATGATTTTGCACTTACAAGTGTTATATCCTCCAACATTATTTGATAAAATAGTGTTAAAATATAGTGATGCAGTTTGACAAAATGTTGATAAAAATGTTGTTGGTCATCACTTGTTTATGTGAATCAAAAAGTCTGAAAAATACTAAAAAGCATGTTTTTTAATACAATTGTGGGTGTTGACTTTCTTTAAGTTTCATTGTGTGTGTGTGTGTGTGTGGGGGGGGGGGGGGGGGTGGCGGTACATGTATTTAGTCGTTTTTGCATGTTAAAATTCTTTGATTTAATTAAGATAATTGATATGCAATGCTGTTGTCACTTTTTCCAAGTATGGCCTGGATTCACTCAGACTTACCAGGAAATGTCTGACTATATATATTAAAAAAACAACATTTATTGCTAATATTTGCTATCTCCTTTTTTTTTTTTTCAATTAATCGTGAAATAAATTGTTTTATAATTTTTACCCATTGAAATTATTGTGTGATTATTGCATTTCTGGAAATACTGTAATGCACTTAGGACACCAAATAATATGAAAATTGTTCAAAAGTATTAAAAACAAACTACACTGAGTCATTAACGTAGCTAAGTTAAATTACTAGTCAATCAAACCCTTTTTTTCTACATAGGACTTTTCATTATCATTCTCATTTTAATAAATAGAATAACATTCAGTCAATCAAGAGACAATGGACAACAAACGTAACTTCCGGTGTTCTCTTACGTTATGACGTTTACGTCCAGATGTTAAACGTTATCCCTACAGCCTTTTGTGTTGCTAACCGCGGGCTACAGCTAGCTCCACACCAAAACAAAGCATCGTGCAGAATATTAACAGTAGGAGTCGCTAAAGTCGGTGACATTAAAGTCAAAATATTAATGCGCGGCGTTATGGTCTGTGGATAAGCTGTTACGTCGCTAGCTGACAGATTTTCCTTCTAAAATGCAAATAATATACACTGAGGAATAATTTACGGTGCTCTGCAGCCGCTGACGAATGCGCATCTGGATTCTAGCTAGCGGCTAGCGCTGTGTTGCAGCCTCCGTCCTCTGCTCTGCAGTCAGTTACATTCAATAGCAGCTAGCTAACCTAGCAAGCTGTCAATTTTCAGCTCTCGCCAAAACAGAAGTTAGCCCATGCGGCTGCTTACCCTAAAAGATCCAGCGAAAATGTAAATCATCATGGGCCTTAAGAGACGGGAACTGGTAAGTTCATGTTCATGAAATCTGCTAATTAACAACATAACGGCTTCGAGCAGGTAACGGTTTTCTGTCAGCTAGCTTAGCCTACCCGTTAGCTTTGTTATGATAGTCTGAAGAGAGCCCAGTCGTTTTTTTTCCCCTTTCATTTGACTTACTGCTTTTGACGCGAGAAATGCAATTAGAGACAACTGTGTCTCTGTGCTTCCTTTTGTGATTTTAAGCTTGACAAAAAAATTTTTCCCCATATACTTTTCAGGGGTTGACATAAAGACAATTTCCAGCCAGGTTGTCAGTCCAGCAGAGGTTGTCTGGCAAAATTTTGGGTGCAACCTTTGCAATAAATAAGGCAACAAATCTCTAGAAACATGTGATATAATAAGTATATTGCACTATACACAAAGTTTACTATATACAAATGTTCTCAGTCAGCCATCTTGTGGACTGCTTGGAGTTTCCAAGCTGCTTAGTGCAAGACACAGGAGCTGCTGGAGCGGAATTTCCTCTTTCTCCTCCTTACCCTCTTCCTTGTCATAAGACTTTGCAGGAGAGGCACTTGCAGTATATTTAAAACAGAGATTCAATTCAATTCAGAAATACTTTATTAATCCCAGAGGGAAATTTAAGTGTTGTCATAGCTCATCATCCTGGTTTTATTCAAGAGTTGTTAGATGCTGATTGCTGTGGGAAGGAAGGATCTCCTGCAGCGAATACGAAGAATCTGGCCAAAGATACCAATCTGTCCACCCAGATCCAGCTTGCTGTCAGATCCGGCTGGCCTCTCGGTTCTCCTGGGCAACAGGGCTGCCCGAATGCCCGCCAGAACTCCTCCCAGAGCGATGGCCACTCTGCCGAGCTCCTCGTCACTGCGGACAGCCAACTGTAGGTGCTGAGGGACGATCCTGTCCTTCCGCTGTCATGAGCCATGTTTCCTGCTAGTTCCAGTATCTCAGTGGTCAGGCACTTGAGCGCAGCTGGCAGGTAGATGAGAATTGAAGCAGAAGAAAAATCTGTTGATTGAAATTTTTCTACACAAATGTTACCCAAGCACACTACCCAATCCCAGACATTTGAGAGCTTTTTCCTGCATACAGGTCACTTCTCAAAGGTTTTCATGTAAAGAGGAGAATTCAGTTCAAATTCAAAAATATTTTATTAATTCCAAAGGGAAATTAAATGTAACTCTTTATCCTGGTTTCATTAAAGAGTTGTTATACATGTGGGCAGGAAGAATCTCTTGTAGTGGTCGGTCTTACTGCGGATCTGAAGAAGCCTCTGACTGAAGACACTTGTTGTATGACAGTCTGATGAAGAGGATGCTCAGCATTGTCTATAATGTTTTTCGCTTTATGAAGAGTGCTTCTTTGTACAATCATCTCCAAAGGTTCCCTCCAGAACTGAGCCAGCCTTCTTTATGAGCTTGTTGATCTTTTTAAATATCACTTGCTCTGATGCTGCTACCCCAGCAGATGATAGCAGAAGAGATGGCGCTCTCTATAACAGACTTATAGAAGATATGCAGCATCTTGCTGCAAACACTGAAGGACTTTGGCTTCCTCAAGAAGTGCAGTCTGCTCTGTCCCTTCTTGTAGACGGCTTAACTTGTGTTTCCAGTCAAGTCTGTTCAGGTGAACTCCAATGTATTTATACTTTTTTTTTGCACCTGCTCTGCATCCTTGGCACCTCCTATTCAACTCATTTGGTATTTGGTGCTGTAGTTGAGGTATTATTTGAGCTTTGAGAAGTTAGTCAGCTGCTCCTGTTGTAAAAAAACACCGTCTTGTTATGGTTACACATAGGGGTGCATCAATTGCAGTTTTCTGGCCGATCATCGATTTCTAAAAAGTCTGACCTGCCGATTCCGATTTTGGCTGATACCAATTTTGTTTTATAAGCGACACTGTCAGGTGTTATAAGGTCACAATGCACCTTCAGTTTTCAAACATTATTTTATTGAAAAACATACCCTTGAACAATATCCTAGAAACAGTACAAACTTGTTAAGACTGGCCATGAGGTAGTGCTCTGAAATATAAATAAAGTTTAGACAATTGTTGTTAAAACTAAAAAAAAGTCAGTAAAATCGGTTTCTCGTGTAAGTATCGGCCGATTTCCCAAAATTAAGGAAATCGGGGCCGGTTTATCGGTGCACCCCTAGTTACGCATCATAACAAATGTCCAAAAATAAAGAGATTTCAGTAAAAATCCTTCCAGCTGCACAACATCTGATACCAGAGAAAACATTCATCCAAAAAAAGTGATTTACATCCAGAAAAAAGAGGAATTAAAGCTTTCAAAAGCAATATCAGCACTACTCCAACATGTTGCCACCTTGAGCGGCACAAGTCTAGAAGTATACTGTGCACATGACCTAAAAGTATAAAGTACAATGTTCTTTAATGAAACGTTGAAGTTGTAAGAAAACTTTAACCTGCACCATCTAGTTTCACAAGACCAATGGCATTCTGAAGGAAGAGAGAGGGTTTTGAACAGCTTTTCTGTAGATTACTTTTAACTTTTATATAATTTCATTGTTTTCATTTGAGGGATTATACACCAAACTCTAAATTGTCCCTAGGTGTGAGTGAGAGAGTGATTGGTTGTTTGTCCCCTTTGTCTCTATGTGGCCCTGTGATGGACTGGCGACCTATCCAGGGTGTACCCCACCCCTCGCACAGATTGTTGGATATGGGCACTGGCGACCCCCATGGTCCAAAATGGAAGATTCGGGTAAAGATAATGGATGAATGGATGGATGGAAATCCATTGCGAGGACAGAGAACTTTAATTAATGTCTATTTCACTTGATTGTCCATTGTACAACCATGAGACGAGATCTGATTGTCCAAGATGAAAATAGGTTGTTTTGGGCAACTGGAAATTACTTGTGTTAACGTCTGGGTAATAGCTATACCAGACAGTTGTTTTTATAGATGCTGCTTCAATTCACATCATGATAATTGGACCTTTTGGTAGTGCATTATTTAGGTAGGTCATCCAGATTAGAAATAGCATGTTGCAGTGAGATCAGTCAAAAAGACATTGTGCAACTGAGTGGGGGTGGGGGGGTGGGGTGTTCTTGTTTATGCAACAAGACTGGGTTTCCATCACAAAACTTGCCAAGTTTTGGTTTAGATCTTTTTCAATGGTTAACCTGTTAGTACATACCTGAAAACTGTAGGTCCACACATTTACAACATACAGTATGTGTATCATAATTTATTTATTTATTTATTTTAATGTGTTTTATTCTGTCCCTCTTTTTTCCCATCCTTCAGGCAGTGCCAGTGATGGCCTCCCCCATCCCTGTCTCCGTCCTCATTCTGGCGGTTCTCCTATCATCCGAGTCACCTGTTTGCCTGGCAGGGGACTGCAAGGGCCACAGACAGGTGCTGAGGGGACCTCCAGGTTACGTCACAGATGGACC